AAAAAATGGAGGAAAAGTCACATCCAGAAAGGGAATGAAAGGTTTGGACACGTACAAGGAAGGTTCAAGGGTGTTGAAGATAGGCTTGCTCGTCTAGAGCTTGGACGAGGACAGCAGGTTGAGGATGTTGCAGGGCAGGGGGCTGATGTGTCAGATGAGCATGACGAGGAGACAACGTCCGAGGAGGAGGAGGAGGAGGATTAGATTTAGGGTTTATGTTTTTATTTTCCGTTTGTAGTGTATGTTGTTATGTAATTGACTTCGGTCTTCTTATTTGACATTTGTAGTTTATATGGTATTATGTTTAGGGGCTAAACTATTTAATGTTATCAACTTTGTTGTTACTTATTACTTATTTATGTCATTTTCATTGTTTACCACATGAAGGATCATGGTATTTTTCCATGAAAATTTTCAATTTGGGTCTAATTACATCCCAACAGGTCTAAAATGTCTAATGCAACTCAGAACAGTCACTCGTAAGAGAGTTAAATGACTTTACCAAGTTTCGGGTACCCTAAACCAACATTTAGCCAATACATGTACATATATGGTTTATAACCGCCACAATACTTTTTTGTACCCCAAATTATGTTCCCCAAGTCATAATATGCGTGTACATTAGTGTACAATCGGTTCCATGCCAAAAAAATTCGAGGAAACCTGTTATGTAATAAACCAGGGTTGATCGAACATAATTTTTTGGGTTCCCCATTCTGTTTTCCTCGAAATTTTTTGGCATGGAACCGATTGGACACTAATGTACATGCATATTATGACTTGGGGAACATAATTTGGGGTACAAAAAAGTATATGTTCCATTCGTATGCATTATTGGGTACGTATTGATGGAAACCGTTTGTTTACGCTCCCCGAAACTTGGTGAATTCATTTTGGGGTCATATTAGTAATTGTTATGAGTTTCAATCTATCAATATGGGCCAATATTACTAATTTGAATACAAATCAACATACAAACAACATAAAGTAACATACAGTACACATTGTAACATAAAGTTTCATAACATAATTACATGAACTAAACTATAAACACATTAGCTCCCTCCCATGGTGCTCACTAACATCAACTTCATAAATACATGCATAACATTGGTTCAACTCTGTCTAATCCTCATAGGGCATGTACGTTTATTGTGACCAATTTGCTTGCAAGTGCTACATCTACTTTGACTGCTTGTGGGTTGGGACTCAACCCAATCCATCTCATTCTGTATCCTTGTAGACTTCGGTCTTCCTTGTGCACGAACCAAAGATGCATTTGGGATAATTGTTGGACCATCTATTTCTGGAATCAACAACTCATTACCCATTGGATACCAATGTGCAGCATAGACCTTCTTAATTTGTGTAATTGAGAACACAGGATCGACATAGTCATTGTGGTTCAATTTTTCAACCTTGCACACTGCTAGCACATGACTGCAAGGAAATCGTCTAGCTGTGAACCGTCCATATTGACATTTACGATTTAGCAAGTCAACCCTCATAATGTCGTCGGCATCATGCGTAGATTGATCGTAGGCATCCTCAACTTAAAACAACTGCAAGTCTTTATCAAAAACACGGACTCGGAGACTGACAATAAACTGATCATTCTTTTGTAAGAAGTCCTCAACCTTTTTTGCAATTCTCCAGCCATTTTCCTTTGCTTTTTGGATCTTTTCACGCTTCTTGACAAAATACTCAACAAGTCTACTTTGCGTCATCTTGACCAATGCCGTTATTGGCAAATTACGTGCACCCCTTAGGACCTTATTGATACACTCAGATAGGTTAGTCATCATATGACCAAACCTTCGGCCCTCCTCATCATAAGACCTGCACCATTTCTCTTTGGGAATCTGATCTATCCATGAAGCTACTTGTGGGTTACTGTCGACAAATTCTTGAAATCTTATATCAAAATGAATCTTCGAACACATGTAACCTGCAAAAAATGAAGACAAATTGAATGAGTTATACATAAACAACATTACATACAACATGTACACATTTAGGAAAATTGTATACCTAGTTTCATCAGCGTTTTCTTCAATTCCACGTCCCTAAACTTAGTGTTAAAGTTGCTTCCAATGTGACAAAGACAAAACACGTGATACGCAAATGGAGGCTGCCAACCGGCATGATCCTTCACAGCCCTGATGATGCTGGGGTGACAATCGGATATTAGACATAGACCATGCCTATGTGTGACATGGAAACGCATGAGGCTAAGAAACCACAACCAATCATCCAATCTCTCACCCGGTGGAACAATGGCAAACGCAATAGGCATAATGTATCCATCACCATCCTGTGACGTAGCAATCAGGAGGGTACCTTTGTATTTCCCGTACAGGTGCGTGCCATCAATTTGGATTATGGGTTTACAATATTTGAAAGCCTCAATGCACTGGTGAAAAGTCCAAAATACCTGCGAAAGACAGCCTTATCAGTGTACACACGTCGTTCGTCACAACACTGGTCCGTATCAATCTTGAACACAGAACCAGGATTAGTCTGTGTCATGTAGGTCAACCAACCAGGTAAGAAGGCATATGATTTATCCCAGTCGCCAAACAATTTCACAATGGCCTTCATCTTACTTCCAAGTCTTCCTATAAGATATGTTATATCCATACAAACGTTGTACCCTCTCCTGAATAAGAACTGGTTTCGGAGATGGATCTTCTTTTAACATACCTATAAAAAAATCGAAGTCAACACAGTCAATAAATATACCGTAAAAAAAACATAAACATAACTAATGTAACCAAACATCGCGTAATACATACTTATAATGGCTGCATAGATTACATCAGAATCCAACTGTCTATGGTCCGGGTAAGGCCTTGGTTTAGGCAGGTGTGTTCTTTACCCCACTTACTAACAACCCAAGTATTTCCATTCTTGGGCAACATAGCCCGCACGTACCAGGGACAACCATCATTATGGTGTCGACACTTCATCACAAATCTATGGTCATCACTTTTTATCACCACAACAGTACGATGAGCGTTCATTCAATATAATTTGACTGCATGTTGCATTTCAGATTTACTTCGAGAATCCTGGTACAAATATAATGGATCCCCTAATTGCCAGCCACCGTGGAAGTCATCGTCGCCATACAATATCTCCGTCTCATCATTAGGGTGAGCCCAATTAATGAAGGAATAATGTGGGATTTCGTTCCAAAACGGCTCAATCTCGGAACCTACGTCCAAATTACAGGAGTTATTCGTCAGTACGAATGATAACACAAATATGAAATATTCATTTAAAAACATTTACTATCTTACCACTGCTAACAGGGTCAACACGGAGTGGTGGCATAACCTAGGAACTCAGGTTTCCTGAATTTGTGTCAGCGTCAAAATTTCCCTCTACGTCCGTATCTTGGGTGTCACCCAACAGAATAACACTCTCGGGTTCACCGTCGTCTTCACTGTCCATATCCTCCTCATGCTCATCCTCATCCTCGTCTATTTCCCTCAGTGTTATCTGACTTAAGACAGGTGCAGGTGCAGATAAACCGACCACTCTGTCTTCTTGACTTTGATTTCTTTCATGCACAGGTGCAGATGAAGATTGACCACAGTCTATTTCAACATATATCTCAATAAAGTTTTGAAATTTTCGGTCCACAATTGCATCTATGACACATTCCACATCTTCATCGTCACATATATCATTACCAATGTAGAGTATAGCATCCTTACCAACTGTAGACTCTACCCTGGTGATCATCCGTTGAACGCACTGGCTGCCTTGTAGCCCCAATTTTTGGTGAATCCTCCCTTTAAGCTCATTGTACGTAGTGCCCCGTTTGATTTTCAACATTTTTGTTTTTCCTTCAAATTGAACACCGTTGGGGCCTTCATAATTCTTTCCATCATAGTAGATCATTGTAACATACATGTTTGGGTCTGAGCTCATCTTTCACACGAATTTGGGGGTAGGAATTGGATTTTAGGGTTTTGGGGGAAACAAATGAGAAAATAAGGTGAATGACAATGATTTCACAATTACTATGATTTAGAGATAGTGGGATGAAATGGAATCGTTATTGGAAGGATCACAACTGACAAACAAGAGATAGAGGGGGTACAAAACGAAAATATTGCAAATGAGACCGAGAGAGGGCTGGATATAGGGTTTTCTGCGACTTTTAATCGACTAAATAATGTCCTTAGTCGATTAAAAGTGCTCGAAATGTAGTCGATCAAGGTGAGGATGTAGTCGACTAAATCTCGTGATTCATGTTTTCTGAATTCTGACCATTTAGTCGATTAAAAGTGCAAGTTGATCGACTAAATGGGGCCAGGATGATGGATAGTTCTGGAGAGGGGCAAATTAGTTATTAATTAATTAATGAGGGACAAAAGGGTCAAAAAGTCATTATACCTTACTCAAAATTATTCAACAATAAAGACCAAAGCCTATTAGCTTTTTATGTTTAATTTCATTCTTTGGCCTTCATAGCTATAAATAAAGAAATGACACCCAAAAGAAATAAGCAATAAATTAATACATAGGAATGTAAGGAGCAGTGTTTTTTTCTTTATATTTCCTTTTATTATTAATAATACTTTTAATGTTATTACTATTATTAGAATACACTTTAAGAAATAATATAATATTCTCTAAATTACATAGGTTTAATCCCCTTTACACTTCCGATTGAACCCTATAAATTAGGATTTTGATTGTAAAAAGAAATTAAAATAAATAATACATTTTTTAATAATATAAATAAATTAAAAATTATCAATGTCCCGATCATAACATACAGTGATACAACTCACGTAATAAATGGACTTTTTTCTGTGAAAAAATGTTTATAAATTCTAGGAAAATTAAAGAGCCTTTTTTTTTTTTTTTTTAGGAAAATTAAAGAGCCTTTTATATAATATATTAAAAATTCATTCTGTGCATTTCAATAATAATAATAAGTTTTGCTAACAAAAAAAAAAAAAAAAGTTATGCTGCTAATCCATTAACAACTTAAAAATTATAGAAAAAGATAAAAGGATCGAAGTTGCAGGCACGGCATACCCTCTGTGACGGAGACATGGAAAACGACGACGTTGATATGCTCGGAGCAGATAATAATGAAGCTGTATGTAATGTTTCAGTTTTATTTTTTCTTTCTTTCTTTTTGCTTTTAAGTTGTTTGTTTAGCTCATTTCTATGACTCAAATTTCCCTTTTGGGTGATGCTGCTATTAAATCTGAAAAAACCCTAATTGATTCACGCATCAATGTCAAATGCGATGATTACAGGAATTGGATGACATGAAGAAACGCTTGAAGGAAATGGAAGACGAAGCTGCTGCTTTGCGGGAGATGCAGGCCAAGGTCGAGAAGGAGATGGGATCTGCGCAAGGTAGCTCCTTTTTGTATTTTTTTTCTCTTTTAATTTAATTTGTTTTCAATTTTAGTATTTTTCTCAATTCTGTCAATTACCCATCTTTGGATTTTTTTTTAAATTTTTTGTAGTTTCTTAATTATTGCATTTTGTTCTTCATATGAAATAATGACCTGTGTTTGATATGAGTTCGGTTGAATTGGCCATGCTCAATATTGGAATTACCTCTGTTTTTTTTTTTCATTGTTGATATAGACCCTAACTCTTCCAATTAATGATTTTTTTGTTGATAAACTAGAAAATTAAGGTTTGATTGTTGCTTGGTAGTGCATTGTGCGCTGTGCAATTGATTTGTTTGCTGACTAAGACTGAAGAGATCACTTAAAGGTTGGGACTGACTCTCTAACTTGTTTATAAGATATTTCGTTGCACACACTTGAGGTTTTTGTGTTATAAACTCATGTAAGCTGAATATTTGCCAACTATTATTTTCAAATTTGGAGGAGTTCTTGGTTAATGCTTGAGTTATTTGATAATAAGAAATGCTAGGAGATGCTCAAGGACCTTAGCATTTCTCATTAAGGGATGCATAAGAGGATACACTGCATCTTGTGGATCGGAGAGGCATGTGCTAAAATACTTGAGCGCCTCCCTACACATCCCTTTTATTAGACCCATGTTTTCTTAGACCTTTTTTTTAAACAAAAGAAAAACATTGAATTTTATTTGTTTTGTTTTTATATGTCTTTTGCTTCTAATTTGTCTTCTTCTCCTTGCACTTGCTTATTGGGTGACCACTGTACTTTTTTAATGTGCAAGACATTTCATTACCATCTGTTGTTGGACTCTTGTCTCTGTTATTGATCCTTATCTCCAAATAGATCCTGCTACTGCTGCTGCAAGTCAGACCAACAGAGAGGAGGTAGATGCTCGATCAATCTTTGTAGGCAATGTAAGCTGTCTTTTCCCGTTTACATTAGAACTTTCTATTCTGCTTAGTTAGTTGTCTTTATTTTCATGTTTTCGTAATGTGGGCTGAGTATATTAATGAGATTAACTTGTATCTTTGGTCTGAAGCAGTGTTATTAAAACCGGACCGACCCGGCTGGAACCGGTCATATAACCGGTCCGGTTGAAGCAATGGACCAGCCATGCATCAGAACCGGTGTGACCCGGTCCGACCCGGTCGGTTTTCATGAAAACCGGTTATCCGGTCGATTAACTGGTGACCCGGCCCGGTCCCAAAAAAATTCAAATTATTTATTTTTTCAAAAAAAATCATAATGGACATATTTGAATATTTTTTTGCTTATTGATTTACATAAGTTATGTACCTACAACACTAATATTATCTCAATTATGCACTATTCAGAAAATTTTGATTTGGTTTATAGTTAGAGATATCGTTTTCTGAACCTAAAGTCCTGTATCACGATCATTATATTTTTGTTTGATCCTTTATTGGATAATAATATGTGATTTATTATTTTTTAGATTAAAATATTTGAAATTTTTATCATTTTTTTAGATATTTGAGCATGTTTATAATTTTTTAATATAAATTATAAAATTGCATATAATTACCGGGTCATGCGGTTGAACCAGTAACCCAATGACCCAGTACCTCGACCGGGTCAATGACCGGGCCGGTTTTAATAACATTGGTCTGAAGTGATTGGTTCAATTATGAGCCAATGTGTATATGTGTGTATGATGCTTTTGGAAACAAATTGGAGGATTCGTTATGCCTGGAACATATGCCTCTTGTTTTGTTTACGTTAATTACAGAGCAGGTTTGGGCTTAATCTCCCTACTGTTAATCTTGTGGCTCTCCAATATTGCATGATCGTACGTAATTTGGAGATCATTAAACCATAATCTCGTGTCAAACTTATTTCGGGATATGCTCTTATGCACATGTGACATGTTTACATGTATATGTCGGTGTGTCAAAATGTTTACATGTTTACAGGAGAAATTTTTATTTGTCCGGGAATCTCGATTTTCAAAAATATGATTTTTGCATTCAGTTTACGATAATATCTGAAAATTTAAAATTTAGAAAAATTCAGTTTCCCGGGAATCCCTCAAAATCCCGCGTACCAAACGCCCCCTGAAAGAATATGATAGGAATCCCAAACCAATAACTGGTCGGTGTTTTTCTGACCATTTATTTCCAGTAGCAAGATCATAAAGTTTGTGATGAGGCTTTCCTTTTGGTAGTTAGGTTGTTTTTATATGGGGGTGCTTTTGTTGTAGGTGTCTTGCATCAGTCATGAGTGCAACTGTAATATTTGTGATTTTGGGGGCTCAATTACATGCACAATTGAAAAGTGCAGCATAAAAAAGGATAGAATGTCGAGGAGATTTACTTATATATAAAGATAATTAGGAGCAAGAGATCTGGAAAAATCAGCGGTTTGTGATTTTATTATTTTACCGTTTGTGATTAATTTGACATTAGTAAACTAATTTAAGAGCCTCTTTTGTTGCGAAGATTTTCCATTCAAATAAACAAAAAATCAGCTGGATGATGATAGAATGTCCTTGTTAGTTTAATAACTTAAGAACCAGATTGCAGCATCCAGGACATCTGGATTATGTAGGATGAGTAGATTATTGACGTCTTAAAGACCGTATGTAGAAATTTATGGCTGAAGTTGAACATGGCATGAGATAAAGCAAATCAACTCTTCTCATGGCCAAGTCAAATTTATAATTTGATGCTCATACCAGTGCATTTGACATATTTTGTATCATGATATTGATACTGTGTTTTACCTGACTCGTGTTCGACCTCATCATTACTTTAGTTTCATCTTTTACTGAATGCAACTCCTCGCAAATCTAATATTGAATTTACTCTTGCATCTCAAACACCATCTTTTTTAGAGCATGGACCAAACCTTGCTAACATGACTTCCGTTTACCTTTTCTTGCCCAGTATGCTCGGAGTTGTTAACCTATTACCTCCTACTCAAATCCACACCCACCCTAACCACCTGAGCTTCCCAGGTGGCTATTGTCTTTCTATTGCTGATGCTAAGCAACCTGAAACCCCTGATTTCTTGCTTCTAGAATATCCTGCTACCAAAATCCTAAGCTACTCAAATTAATCAGCATTTTTACTTGTTGAAGATTAAATTTATATCCCACTTTATTGTGCTTGCAACGTTCAGTGAAATTTTCCCAGGGAAGTTTTGTACTTTGCTTATGTATGTATTTCTTCGTTTCCAGCATCTCACGAGAATGGCTACATTTTTTCAATTTCTTTTTGTGAAAATTTATTTGATTTTCTTATGGTTTAGTTCACTGATTTTTTTTTCATGCACTAATAAGATGATGTGGATAGCTTTCTTCAAGCCATTCATAGTTATTCATCATTGTCTTGCCCTGTTTCCTCATGATACTTGAATTTCTCACTGATTTGATTTCAGCCAGGTGTTTGTTTTGCTCAATGCTGTTCATGGTCTTTTATACTGATTTTTCTGTGCATCTATGACTCCAATTGGTTATCAGGTTTTAGTTTACTTTTTCCTGGAATTTCTTAGTCAAAGTTCTCCATATTTGTTGCTGGTGTATTTTCATCACTTTCTCACCATTAATTGAACGAGAAATGCATTGGTCTCCACCATACTCTATCCTGGAAAGTTCTATTGTTTTCAAGATTACTAATATGTTAACTTTTAGAATATTGAGAACTTTCTTTGCTTGATGTTGAGTGTGCTTCTGATATTTCGAAGTTTAATTGTGTCTTCAAGTGGTGGTGTCCTGCTTTGACATAAGTTTGACTACAATCGCAGGTTATGCTTACATCTACAAGTTTTCTGGTTTAGTAATGCTGCAGTTGGAAGTATATGATATATAATATATAGCTGGAGGAGAAAAAATTATATTAGAAATGTTTAAAATTACCAAAAAGAGTGGAAAAAACAAAAGGTACACTACAACAAAATATAAAAATAAAACATAAAAACATTGGAGGGATAGACGACAGGATAAGAAAGTTAAAATGTTAGTTGTTATGGAAAATGATATCCATGGTTTGGTGAACAAGAATATTTTTACAATGAAAAGGAAGGGGGGGAAAAGAACAAAAATAGCATACAAAGCTATCTATAATTTTGGGTGAAAAAGAGAGATCTTTAGCATAGCAAGTTTTACTTAGTCTACTTTCAATGTATTTGTGGCAAGATGGATAGAGGAAGGGATTAGATTGCAGATCAAGAACCTGGATTCTCTCTGGTGAGAAGAGGACATGCTTTATAGGTAAAGGACTGTGCATGGGTATCCCCTGTTTTGATTGCAAAGCCAAAGGACGCTTTTGTGGTGCCTAGTGCTCAAGAAACATGTAGGCATTATTTTCTCATGGTGAGGGGTCTGACACTCTTTTTCCTCTTCATTGGGGGGGAATACACGCTGGAAGAAGCTTAAAAAAAGGACTAGTTGTTATGCATGACATTGTTCATGAAACATGCCCATTCGTTTTGTAGTTCCATGATAACTTTGTTCCTTTGTAATATCTTTTAAAGGGAAAATCCCGGTGCAAAAGGTTCACCAAGGGTGAGAGTCGACTATACGTAGCCTTACCTTTGCATTTTTACAAAGAGACTATTTTCCATAATCAAACTTGTGACCTTCTGATCACAAAGGAGCTACCTTACTCCTGCTCCGAGACTTACCCTCACAAGTTGAAATTTCAAAAGTGGTCTAATTTTTAATTCACATAGAATCCTGGGAGGAGAATATGAAGAAAGCACATATATATAATGCATTTTCTGAATGAAGGCTGGAGTGGAGGGGATGCCTGACATCAAAATTACAAGTCAATATACGTAGGCGATAGCTATATTGCATGATCATTTGTTGTAATTGTTGATTGGACAAAAGGAGGATTAACTTAGAGAGATTTTTAGAAATTTCCATATTAGCATAATGTTCTTGTTGCAATGCACAAACTATCAGCTTTTTTAATGTAGAAGTGATTGGAAATTGATTGGCTGGACAGAGTGACAATGATATTTTGGAGAAAGATCCTCTGAAAGTCTAAAGTGCAAGGTGCACATCAAAAGCAAATTTCATGTTGGTATTGGTTAATGTGATAAAAAATTATTTATATTTTTTATGAATACAAGCCTCTTAATAATAGTTTACTTTATGGAATTCCACTACCTTGTTTTATCTTTTAAGTGTTTATCTACTGGCACTTTATTCTCTAAGTGTAGCTTGCACTTTAGTAGAAGCCAAATCCTGATACTTGCAATTGCATAAGCCAGGGCAAAAGTACATTTTTTGGCTGGCAGTTTCCTCGGCATTATAGCATGCCCTGTTCCAGATATAATACCTGCCTTCTATCAGATGAAAAATTATCATCCATAGTCTTAAATTACTGGCAACATGAGAAGTCTGATGTGCATTTTGTGCCATTTTTTTCTAGCTAAAATAAACTGTCTTTCCCTAAATTGTTTTATTTATTTATTTATTTATGTTGGTTAGAAATTGTAACAAAATATTCCCACAACCAATTTTGGCGTTTAGAGCCCGTTTGTTTGGCCTTCTCAAAAAAGTAACTTTTATCTCTTCCTTAATTTAGAAGTGCTTTTTACAAAAGTTAAAGCTATTTATATTTTTATAAAAATATTTAGTTTTTGAAAAAAATATTTAGCTTTTGACTTCTGTTTTTTCTATAAGTTAAAAATTTTAGCTTCTGAAAAAAATAGGTTTTTGGCTTTTTTTGTGACTTCTGCTTTTTTTAAAAGTAGACATCCAAACAAATTAAAAATGATAAGTGCTTTTTTTTAAGAAATAAAGCAGCTTTTAAGAAAAAAAAGCCCATCCAAACGGGCCCTTAGTCATTTGGAGCTTGTAAGAAGAGCGAAGCAGTTCCTGCCAAAGAAAGTTCTTCATCAATTTGACCCTGTTTTAGTGGTTGACTGGCAACTGTATGACAAGAAAATTCCTATAAATGTCTTTATTATGTCCATAGTTTTGTGGATGAGACTGACTGAAATATCGAAAACCTTTTTTTTAATTAAGTGTTACACAAGTATTTAGTGACAAATAATAAGGGCATCTGGTTGTGCGAGTAAACCTGAAAGTGCTTCCGTTTTTTCAACCTCAAGGTTGGTGTCAGTTATTACATGAAAATGTTTTATCCCATCTGATTAATGTTTTGGCTTTACTGGTGCCTTTGCCATAATTTAATCTCTTGGATTTGATGTTTTCCACAGGTGGACTATTCATGTACTCCTGAGGAAGTGCAGCAGCATTTCCAATCATGTGGAACGGTAAACCGAGTCACCATTCGTACTGATAAGTTTGGCCAACCCAAGGGTTATGCTTATGTAGAGTTTGTTGAAGTAGAGGCTGTGCAAGAGGCTCTTCTGCTCAATGAATCTGAACTACATGGCCGCCAATTGAAGGTTAGAGCAAGAAGCTCTTGCTGTTCAAATATATCTTGCTTTCCTTTATAACCATCTATATTTGTGTGAACTTTTTGCAGGTAACTGCTAAGAGGACCAATGTACCGGGAATGAAGCAATATCGTCCCCGCCGGTCCAATCCTTACATGGGGTCTCGAGGCAGAACCCCATATGCAGCTCCTTTTGCCTATGCTCCCTATGGATTCGGGTATGTTGTGCCGGTTCTTTCCTTTCCAATTTGTATTCGTTTTGGTGTAATAATAGACTTAAAGCACTCTTTTGTTAATTGTAGAAAGGTTCCAAGGTTCAGAATGGCAATGCGCTACAGTCCCTACTATTGAATGTCCAATACCGCTGAAACGGATCTGTTGATATTATTGGATGGATGGATATGACACCCTACTCCCTCATAGTATCATGGCTGATGTTTCGGCCATTCAGTATGAGGGAATTGGTCTGACCACCGAGACTGAGGTGGTTGGTTCTTTGAGGATTAAACACTGACTTAACTGCAAACCTTGTGAACTTATGGTGTTTTCTTCTGCTCTTTGATATTTGATATGTTCAAATGTTCTTTGCAAAAGTATCCATCGTAAAAGTGATCAAATATATGGGGTTTTCAGTTGCCTATTTTTCCATTAAATTCCTAATATGCTATAGGTTCATCTCTCTGCTATGTTTGTGTAGCCCTCAGTTTTCTTTATGAAAGTCCAAGAAATGATGGTCTTTTTTCTAATTGTTGTCCTATAGCAGTGTGGGGTAGTGTAAGTGCATTGTCTTATACGAGTAGCTAGTATTGTCATACAAGTCCATAAAAGATCAGTGTGTGGTTTGGACAAAAGGTTCTTGTGTTGTGCACCTTACTAGATTTAGTCAACAAAAACGCTATAATCATATATTTTGCAGAACACTTATTATTATTGGAATATTTCTTTTATTTGGTTATCGGCAACTGCTTTCAAATACGACTTCCCAAAACGATTTTCCTATAGCAGAAATATGCATCAAATTTACCATAAAATGCTTACAGATATGAAAATTTACAGAACTCGGCATTTTACTCGGCTTAAATGATGAATATAAACTAGTAGTACTGCTTGTTAATATATTTTTCCCTTCTATCCCACTTATGCAGTTTTCTGCTAGGTGTTGGGATCTGGTACATAATAGTTGGATAATGGTGTAGCCCTCCATTTACTTGATGATAATTGCTTGATAGACAAATCACTGGAATATCAAGATGTGCATGAACTGAACTTGGTGTAATTGCTTTGACTGTTTGTCCTTTTTAATGGCATTCAAGAACGTGACAGAATTGGTGGGAGGCTCACGAAATGTTAATTATGATGACTCGAGCTACCGATATCCCACTCATTGTGATCCTAGCCTTGATGCTTCTCAGGCTCATGAAAGTGCTTTTATGATTGCTGAGAGGTTACGTAAGAGAATGGCCTAAATCAATGCAATCTCTAGTCAGTGTGACCAAATACTGAGAGCCTCTACTCTGAGCAGCATAATAGCTTAAGCATTAGATTGTGGTATCTAACTCATTAAAGACATTAAAGACAGTTAAAACATTGACTTGAGAGTGCATCAGATCGTACTTGCAGAAGTTTTGTATTGACATTTGTGATCGTATTTGTACATTTATGTTTGAGTAGGGTGCTTAATACATATTCCATAATTATCACCTTATATCCAACTATGATCTCTTTATTCAGACCTTACAAAATGAATACTGAAAACCTAATGATCAGAGATATCAAATTCCTCATAGCTATACATTCAATTAATCTCCGTCACAAGTTCCTACAACAACAACAACAAAAAAACTTCACAGGCATAAAACTATAATAGGGGCCTTGTTTGATTTTCATTGTCAAGTAACATGCAATATTAGAATCTAAAATCACACCCTTGCTGTTAGAATTATTTGTTCATTGTCCAATCCTTCTATAATAAAAGAAGAGAAAAGTGTTTGTTGTTCTAAATGACACAACTTATATCCTTTCACTCTTACAAAGAGGTGAGACTCACACTTTTATATTTTTTGTCCACTTTCTCCATCTTTATCTATCTCTTTCTCTCACTTAAAATGATACTTTATATTTTTTAAAATAATACACACTTAACCACGATGGGTGGACGTGATGGTTCAGCATCTCGTCCCTTAAGCAAGTGGTTGGGGGTTCGATACCCAACTCTTGTGAATAGAAAGCATCCCGTGGCCAGCCCTTTACGGCTTTGTGCGCTGACCTGGGACGGGGGATTAATCCCATGGCTACCGGCTGTGGGGATACCCTGATGCAAATAAAAAAAAATGATACACACTTTTCTTATAAAAGAAATAAGCAACTTTGCCATTTTTCTTAGGAAAACATTCAGGAATATTAAAGGACTTTATTAAGAATACCATGTCTAGAGACATACACCGAGAAGTTAAAATTGAAATTTTAAGTAAAAATAAAAAGGAAAAAAAATCATAAAACATAAAATCGTAATATAAAAAAAAATCATAAAAATATAAAAAATGCTTGAAATATTGATAAAAATATTTTAATAAAAAAAAATAAAAATATAAAAACATAATGAAAAATCTAAATTTTAACTATCATACACCAGCAGTTATACTTAGTAACACAGTAAAAAAAAAAATGCGAGACAGGGATTATTCATACTTAAAAATAAAATAACCACTAACCAGTATAAACATTTAATTTTGAATTTAAATTTAAATTGGAAAATTCTTAATTTTCTCGTATAAATATACAGATTCATTAGTCCTGTCCTTTAAATCTCTTATTTTTTTGCTGACAAATTGCTTGGTAAGGATGGAGAACAGAAAGAAACATAGCATGCAGCTCCACCCATTGGAGTGTTCTTCTTAATTAGAAAACTAAGCAAAGAAGGCCTTAGCACTATCAACTTTCTCCTTATTTCAAGGGAAGACCTATACTTTCCAACTTGTGTTTAAACAAAAAATAATGGCAAAAACAATCTCAACCCGATCCTTCACATTCAGCAGGGTACATACCCAAGCATATCCGGAGTATGATTGCAGACGAAAGGGACCCACCAAAACCATCCAATAAACGACATCCTCTGTAGCCTTTTTTTTTGCCATATGAGATTCTCTCCACCTTACCCATCTCATCATTACTAACCTCGCCTAATGGTCTCCCAACCCCAACACAAAAAGAAACCAATCCTTCAGTCTCATTTACCATAAAACAAACAAACAAATACAACACCCTATTCCTCTACCATTGCCATTTCTTTTGTTTATTTAAAAAAGTAAAGAGAATCTATCAAAAATAAATAAATAAAGAGTAAGAAACCTCACTTGACATAAATAAAATATACAATATTAATGATGTGCTAACATTTTTTTTCCCCTTATACCTCGTTTGCCATATTTATAACATTCCTCTTTAGTCTTTAGAAACAGAATTTACACAGTCACACTAAACGACAAAAGAAACTTAAAATACATACATACACACTCCCTCAACTCAACCCATCCCCAACTCCATCATCTCCTGCTTCCGTTCCCATCAACCCATATCTACAACCGTACACCGTATCATGCGACGTGTTAACCTTCCTTACACCATAGGCTTGCACGCTGAAGTCTGCGGGTCCCACATCGCCGGCACCAGGTACCTCCTCCCGTTCGCGCCGTGCACATTGTAGCTCGCTCCGGTTGCCCTGTCAACAAGGACCCGACCCGGGTTACCCGGGTACGCCCCGCTACCGAAAATCCCAGTGCACGCCGTAACGGCCTCCAGCGGCGCCGTCGCCGGTCCCTGGAAGTAACCGTTGTTGAAAGGGTTCGTGACGGTTCCCGCGAACAAGGTGGCAAGGTTGATGATCATCCCGTCGACGCCGACGTCGCCGTTGGGCGCCACCAACGGCGGCGTCTGCGGCCCGTAAAGAGGCTGGTGGAATGGCCACGCGCATTGCCCGGGACACTGCGTCTCGGAGTTCCCGACCCAGATGTAAGCGGTTCGGTGACCACCTTTGGCTCCGCCGATCGACCCGTGGGTCCCGCAGCGGCTCATGCAGAAACCGTCGACTGCGACGTCCTTGGCGGTGAGCACCACCGTGATGGAGGAGAGTTCGTTGAACTTAGAGGCTAACGCTAAGAGGTCCCTTCCCTTGAGATTCTTCCCTAGGGTATAGCTCGGGTGTAGGAACTGCTTCCCTACGACGAGAGCAGAGGATCCTCCACCCTTGTACTTCTCCGTCGTCATCCACCACGTGGCGACGGAGGGGAGAGGTGCCCCTGGCGAGCTAAGTGAGTTTATGAAGTCCACGATTATGGACCGTTGGATCGGAGTGAAGGCTCCGTACCAGACGAGATTAACGGTGATCCGCCCCTTCAGGAGCTGGCCGTTGTGGTACTTGAGCACCAGCGGTTGCTCCTGCACCAGTGCTCCTACAGTGAGTGTGGGAAGGAACAGCAGGGCCAGCACCGCAGAGTACCTGATGGCAAGGTTGTAATTAGAAGCCATGTTCGGGGTCCAAGATTTAAGAAAAGGATTAGAACAAAACGAGAGAGAACTTGGAAGAGGAGCAGTGTTTGACGATGGACACGAGTTCTTGGATGGGTTATTTATATACCCGGCGTGAGGAGACAGCAGTGGAGAAAGAGGCGTCAACATCGTATTTTTCCACGTGGAGTGTTCTGATTGGGTAACTTCTGTGCCAGCCTGTGAGAGTTTGAACCGGTTTGACGTGGACGTTTTTTCGTTTGAAGCTTAAAACCGGTTTTACGATGGGGCAATTGATATTACTGATTCGACCTCACTCTGTTTTTGATTTCACAATCCATAGAATGCTTTGCCATGCGTTTTCAGTACAGGTTTGAACAATTGAACCTAGTTACATGGGTCCCATGAGGAATCTCACTCGCGGTGTCCACCTTTTGATCCGAATCGAATCGACGGTGAGATGGGAGCCATATAATTGGAATGGTTCAGAGCAGATGGGGTCCACATTGAAGCTGACAAGCTTGACGTCAGTTACAGAGTTCGAGGAACAACTCCTCAGTAAATTTAATATAGACACGCATGAAAGTGCTATAGAATTCTTGCTTATAGTGCAGAGTGTTTTGAATTTTTGTCTTTTATATAAAGTTTTATACTATAATATATTAAATTCAAATTCAAATTAATAACAGCTTCCAAGGACCTCCGGTTTTTGAAATATTTTTTTATGCTCCAAGTTCATTTAATGATTTGGTGTTCCCTCTCACAATACTAATTTTTTCTTTCATTTTTTACTTTTGCTATTTTTTTCTTTTTCAATTTTACTTTCTCATTTACAATAAAGAACCACCTAAAAAATGATAGTCCCAGTCCACAATAAATTGTCTCCAGGTCTTTTCAAAATAATGCCTGTGGCTTTGAGCTTGCTATGCCATGTGGATGGTCATCGCCACACAGTTTCAGATTTTTTCATTTGATCTTATTCTGAGCCAGTCTCTTCTATCTTTTATCCTCTGTTGGGTTTTGCGCTTTGGCTTGGCTTTTTCTTTTCTTCAATTACACTATTTTTTCCCCCTACCTTTTATCTTCCAACGTTTTGAAAATTTCTAAGGTGACGGTGCCGCCTAAATGAATTTGCCCACGCATATCACAAGGAGTCAAATAGAGTTTTAAAATAATAGAGGTGGCCAATGGTTAGAATTCAATGAAACAAAAAAATTTCATTGCAATCTGCATTGCATGAAACAAAAAAAAAATTTAATCCGTGGGAACAGATGATGATGACACGAAGGAGAATTGGAGGATGGATACGAGTGTGTAAGGTGGTGTTTGGTTGGGAACTTTTCAGCGGATATCTATCTTTCTCAAGTATGGCTTTTAGAAAAACACCATGTTTGTTTTAACGTTTTTCACCAAAAATCCATCTATCTAATTTGTCTGAATTTATGAGAAACATAGATATCCGCACTGTTTAGAAACCCAATTGAAGGTGGGATTTTTCGGAAAACCGGTTATCTGGTTTTTAATGCACTGTTGATTTCATAAAGTTACCTAATTTTTCCAGTAAAATTTTTCTCCACCAAACAATTTTTTTTTTTTTTTTCTACCTATCTCACCTTATCTATCTTTCTAATCATTTCTCTATCTATCTCATTTCCTTACTATTCTAAAAAAATTTCTTGAATCAAACACCCCCCGAGTGTATAACACACATATTTTATAAAAAATAAAATAAAAACAAATTGTTTGTAAAGTATATCAATAACAATATATTCATCTTTAAATTAAATTTATCACACATCCGTAGGAACAAATTTTTAGTGCAGCGGATTTCATTTTTATCATATGAAAGTTTTTTCTCATTTTAATCCAATTTTTATTTAAGTTCCAATTCTTTTTCCCTTTTTATAGGATATAGATACATTTGCAGATTTGCTACACGGAAAATTTGTTCCACACCTTAGAAAATATCACTTGCATAAGATGTATTAGCTATATATGACCAACTTTTCTTAAAAAAAATTATGGATTTGTATTTTTCATATGCCAGTTAATTTTTTGATTTAAGAGAAATGTTTACGTTGTATTAGGAAATAAGTATTTTTTATTTTTTTAAATATATAAATTGTATTTTGAGAATAAGACGTAATCTTTGAAAAAATATATAAGTCGTATTTCCTAATACAACTTATGTAATATATATTTTTACTCAAAAATTAGTTATTCAATTTTAAAACAAGATCATTTATTTCAAAATCAGTGCAATAAAATATGTATTTATTGATTCATCTATTACATTTTTTATTTAAATTTGGACTGTGTTGTGTTAATTAATTAACAATAAAAAAATTAACATTGTTTTAAATTAATATTAGTCAAGAATCTGTTTGATTGTGTTCTTATTTATTTTTCTTCTTAAAACTGTTTATAGAATAGTTATAGAAATAAGGGTTTTATGTGTTTTTTTTATTTTAAAAGTTAAAAATTAAAATACAAACAAAAATAATTCAGACATATTCTCTAAATTAGATTCTAAAAATAAAAAAATAGTTACATTTTTTTATTAAAAAAATTATAAAACAGATCTTATCAAATAGCTTCTCCTTTTTTTAAATCAAAAAACTATTTTTAGAAACAATATTCAAACAGGACTATAATCTCCCTAATTGTTTATTGGATACATATATAAACTTCAGATGCTTTGAATAGATATAATTAACTAACATGCTTTAAAATGACCTTCTATTTGCTAAACTCTAGGGGTGCTAAATAAACTAGGGGCTTTTGACTCGGCTTGTGAAGACTTGAATTTATAAATTTAAAATTGATTGTTGAAATCAGGTTTGAACTTATATAAAAGCTCATTTAATAAAAGAGGTAGGATATTCCTACTACCTATTTTTTCTACTACCACTTCACTACCACTTTAATCACCATTGGATTCAAAAGCTATTTTTTTCTCTCTCTCTTCATTCAACTTTTTCTTTAATCAAATGGTGATTAGAGTGGTAGTGGAGTGGTAGTAGAAAAAATAGGTAGTTAGAATAACTTAGCTCTTAATAAAATGGTCTCAAGCTTTAATTCAAAAGTTTGGGCCTTAGAGCCTCTCAGGCTGGCCTGGTATACTAACTTTTATTTTTATTTTATATTTTTTATACTATTCATAGTAGCCACCTCTCTCCTCAATCAATTTCATCCCATTTTATTGGTTAAACAGACATTTTTCAATGATTTTGTTCTATATTATGCTTTTTTGATATACATTGAATTTGTGAATCTTTGTGAAATTAGTAGTGTTGTGGATCATATATTTTGTTTGTATAAATTTTTGTTGTTTTGTTTTTTTTAAATAGGCTAAACCAGACTTTTATTTTTTGTAAATAAGTCAGGCCGATAATTATATTCATAATAGGTAACAGGCTATGTCAGGCTAACACGTTTAAACACAGACTTAGCCTTTTAAGACCAAAATTCGACTCAGCTCGGCCCGTTAACACCCCTGCTAAACTCTTTTCACAAGAGTAAAAGATTTAGTAGCAATATTAAAATGAAGTTTCCCATTAGCTTTATGGGAAATATATTTTTCATATGAGATAATTTTATCTTGTACAAATGCAAAACAATAGGTAAGATATACTTATTTTTTTCTCTCTCTTTTCGTTAATAAATCTCATCCATTTTTTTGTGTATGAGATAATTTTGTCTTATATAATATGATAAACTATATTTCTCTATGTATCATGTAATATGAGAAACTATGGCATGTTTGAAATATGTTTTGAAAATGGTTTTTTTGATTTTCAAATAAAAAAATATGTTTAATAAGGCTTGTTTTGTAAAAAAAAAATAACTATTTTTTAAATTAAATTTAAAGAATATATCTGAGTTAATTTTATTTTGTATTTTGACTTTTAACTTTCAAAACAAAACAAAAAACATAAAAAACACAAATTTTATTAATTATTCTACTAAATAATTTTTAAAAAGAATCAGAACACAATCAATCAAACGCACCATGTATTCCCTAAAAACAAAACGTATAAATATGAGAAAAAGTGATAACTCGGGAATAACAAAGGGATGGAGTTGCCCGTAAGCTTTTCTTTTTTTTTCTTTTTTGGTAAAAACCTATAAGCTCTTTATTGATATGTGCCGTCTATTAGGTATTGGAATTTTTGGAAGTATCTAAACGGGCTTATGATATTAACAAAAACAAATGAAAAATGAATTTAATAACCTAAACATGTATTTTTTCGTAAAATAAAGTCATATATAACAAATAAGAGTTATTTAGTAAGTCAATTTTAAAATATGACTTGTTTATGAAAAAAATTAAAAAATAATTTTACATATAATATTATAAAATATATCCAAAAATAATTTTGTCATTAATCATGTTATATATATATATAATATATATATATATATATAAATATATATATATATATATATATATATATATATATATATATATATAATAGAAGGGGTATAAACTTAGTCCCACATCATGTATTTTAAGTTGTATATACTCAACAATTCTATAATAACATAACATCTGTTGTGTTATTATATAGTGTTCCTTTTGCCTCTTGTTACTTTGCCGAACGAGAGGAATCTTTATCCACTTATTTTCTTCGGTGAACTCATTGTTCTTTGCCTTTTCAAAAATAAAATAAAAATTTCTGGATATTGTCTCTTTATCAATTTAATTTTGGATACTGTCTTTTTATCAATTTTCGGACGTCTCTTTTGTTCTTGGGTCATCTCTGCGGTGTTTCTTCTCACGAACCACCATCGAAAACTTATTGACTGTCTTCCTCTGCCGTTGACCATCTTCGTCCGGTGATTTTTCCTGGCAAACCACCTACTATTGTGCTCGTCTTGGCAGTGCAATTCTCTCTGTCCAGGTCGCATCCCCATTCGATCAGCCACGCGCCCTCACGCGCACGTGGAAGTCACACCCCTCCCTTTGGTTGGCCGGCTTGTGGCGGCGCTTTTCCGGTAGCTACTAGTTGGATTTTTCTGCCTTCTCCAAGACTGTCCTA